GCAAGCGAAGTCTGACTGTCACCTGGTAGGGACATATAGAGAGAGGTCCTGAAGCTCGGTGACTATAGGGAAGCAAGAGTGGACGAATGAAAGACCGAGAAAGGAGATTCCCTGTGGGTCCCCGGCAGTCTTCTGCAGACATCTGAATGACGCTTGTGACACACTCATTGTGTCATGAGCCTGGGTGGCAAGTTGAAGGATTGGGAGTGCGAATCCAGCCTGCGGGGGCAGGAAGAAAGAAAGGCCTGGCGAGGGGCTGGAAATTAGGGTGTGGAGACCCCTCTGGGCAATTCTACTCAGATAGTCGGTGAGGCCAGTGAGCTAGGTCACCAATGTTCACGGAGTGACGGGGTGAAGGAGGGAATGAGCAGACATGTGCATCAGGGCTTTGGGCGGGCCACACGCAGCTGCCCACCGCTCTTTCCTGATGAAGGCACTTTACAGATGCTTAGTCACCGCAGGAAGGCCGAGGCAGAATCAATGCATTTGAGTCAGGCGCTGGCAAAGAATAGTGAAAAAGCACCACAGGCGGCCAAAAGACCAAACCAACTGTCTTGGAAGAAGTACAGCCAGAATGCTCCTTAGAGGCAAGGGTGGAGAGGCTTCATCTCACACTGTGGACATGCTGTCAGGAGAAACCAGTCCCTGGAGAAGGACATCATGCTTGGCAAAGTGGAGGGGAGAAGGACATCATGCTTGGCAAAGTGGAGGGGCGGGCACAACGGGGCAGACTCAACAAGATGGGGCGGTGCAGTGGTGCAGGCATCGGAACAATGGGGGGCATTGTGGGCGCATTCTGTTGAGCATAGGGTCGCTATGGATTGGAACCCAATGGGTGACACCTAACAGCAACGGGTCAGCACAGGCTTAATCCCACCGGTACCGGTAGAGACCCTGGTTAGGCTTTAGTATGGAAGCAATTCTTCATGTCCTGGGAAATTCCAGAATAGTTAGAAGAGGTGACCCACCCATCAAAAGAGACGCATATCCTTGGCTCTAATACAAGAATTCCTTGGGGACATTCCTATGGGTCCATTCATGGAAACTCAGTGATAACTACTAAAAAGAAGGTCAACCATAAAAAACCACATTGCTGTAAAATCCCGAGCACTCTCACTATTCGACTAGCACATAAATGGCTTTGAGACCTAGCAACTGCCTGTAATACCGTGTGCAGAGTTTTGTTTCTGATTATTATTAATTATGATGTGGCCACTGGCAATTGATTGCTCTGATTGTCTTACCAGTGGACGGTCAGGTCCTAGGCTCAGGCTATCTGTCCAAAGCAGTGGATGGATGTAGTGACATTATTTCAGTGCAGTCCTGGGCAAACCGTGATGATGGATAGCAGGGTAGGACAAACCTATTCAGGCACATATTTTTCAGCCATGGCAGGGAAAAGGCTGAAAAATGACGAGCAAATTGCTTTTGGTGAAAATGCTCTCGCTTTCCAATATTCCCCTCACACCAAGGTTCAAAACGGAAGGGTGCACAATCGGCCCCTCCAACCCCATAACCACCCGTCTCCTTATGGCACCCTGCATTAGTCCTTTGGCGTGGTTCTCCTTCAACCGTTGTATGTGTCTTTCAAAGGGTTGTGGAGTATCGATCCCCACCTTCAGCCCGTAACGTAGTTCTCCCCAATTGGAGCCAGGGTGAGCAACGGGTCGCGAGTTAATTGCCTTCTTTTTGCCTTCCCTCCAAACGCACCCTGCTCCTGGGCTGCAGCTCCACACTGGTTACCACGGTCTCTGGGTGTCTCCAGGCCTGGTAAACCAGCAAAGACAAAAGAAAGCTGGTTCTCCGTCTCCTTCAACGACCTCTGGCCGCGATGGTTTCTGACTCATTTTGTCAGACACTTGGACTCTGTACCAGGTTGGGACTTGTCTCCCTGGGGACACAAAGCCAGTGTTTTCCAGACTGGACCTTCAGGGCAGGTGAGCTCCCTGTCTATCCATATCTGTGGCAGGTGGGCCACCACTTCTTAACTCGATCTTCCCCTTTGTTTCCTATCAGAAGCCTGGCCTCTCAGGACATACTCTAGAACACACGGACAGTAGCCTTAGAGGTCCCGGATGAAGGGTCTGACCCGCTGCTTCTCAATGGGGACTGTTGCCAATGCCTAGTGGCATTTTGCTGGTTGTATTGGGGGGTGAGGATGACTGGCATTTAGTGAGCATGGTCAGAGATGCTGCTAAAAATCCGTGGATCACAGGCCAGAGAGACCTCTCCGGCCTACGATGTCAGTAGGGCTGAGATTGGAAAACGCCGGTGTCCTCCAACAACTTCTCCGTAGATGTTCTTAGTGTCCTCAAACATAACTAAAGGGCTCCTGCAAAAGAGGAAGGCCCTGGACAAGATGGACGGACACAGCGGCTGCCACCACGGGCTCAGGCAAAACCGCTGTGAGGATGGCGCGGCGGGCTGGGCTTTGTTCTGCTGAACAAAGGGTGGCTGTGCTGGGTTTTGTTCTGCTGAACAAAGGGTGGCTGTGCGTCTGAGCTGACGCCATGGCACCCAACAAGACCAAGAACAAGGACCACTTGCTGTCCAGTTGATCCCTACTCACAGCGGCCCTGCAGGTGCCGCCGAAAACAGTGATGCTGCTCAGAGTTCCAGTGGCTAGTCTTGGATGGGGACATCGCCAGGCCTTTCTCAGGGGGCTTGAACCTCCAGCCTTTGGGTGAGCCGCTGAGGGTGGGAACGGTTTGGACCACCAGGGTGTTACACTCGCACAGCAGCATGACACCCGGTGGGCCCTGCACCACCTTCAAAAGCATTTCTGTGCCTGAGACCAAGGTGTGGCCCCTCTATCAACCCAAAGTCCATCAGGTGAGTAATTTAGAGCCTTGATTTCTCCCTTTCGTTCAGGAAGCGCTGCTCAAAAACAAAGAAACAAAGATCTCAATGCCATTGAGTCGCCCCAACATATCATGACCCTGTAGGACAGGGTAGACCTGCCCTCTCATCTTTCTCCTGAGGAGTGGCTGGTGGCTTTGAACTATTGACCTTGCAGTTAGCAGCCAAACACATAACCTCTGCCCCCTGGGCTTCCCCGTGAGCACTCCTACAAGACTGCAAAGCAATGGGCCAGCTGGTCCGAGAGGTAGAGTGAACAGTCTCCTGGCTGTGGAGGGGGTGGCCTGTGGTCAGGTAAAATGCCCTCAGATGAGGGCTGGGGGTGGCCTCTCTCATCCCCACCTCAACCCCTCTCCCCTGGGCCCGCAAGGCCACTGCTTTAAGAACTAGGAACGGGGAGTTGGCCTGCCCCTCGGCTTGTTGGCCACCTGGCTGTCCAAGGATCAGGTGGACCAGGGTCTTGTCACTTCCTCTTAATTGCTGGGTCACCTTGCTGCTGTTAGGAGATGTCACTGTATCAGTTTCAGCTCTTAAGCACCCCAAGTAGAACACAACAGGACATGGCCCGGTCCCGCTCCAGCCTCACGGTCCATCTCCTTGTGGATCTTCCTTTTTATGCCAGCCATCTACTTTAACTAGCATCATGTCCTTCTCCAGGGACGGGGCCCTCCTGGGGGCAGGTGCAGGGTAGGTGCGACTGCCCTTGCTTCTCTGCAGGCCTCCGACTGTGCTTCTTCCCACAGAGGATCTTTCCTTCTCTGGCAGTGCCTGGAACGGAGGCGCACAGTCACTCCTCGCAACGTGTCCTCCTTGAAACGGGAGCATGCCACTGGCCTCCGGGGCCACTTGGGGTGACGGTCTGTCATGCCTGTGCAGGCAGCACCTGGTCCCCAGGGCCCCTCACTGCACACGTGCAGCCATTCAGGGGCCCAGACCATGGATGTGTCCCCAGAGGTCTTGGGGTTACACGCTCCATCACAGCTGAGCCTGTGTGACCCTGCCTCTGGATCCCTCACCCCAAAGCCACGTGCTTCCTCCTCCAACACAAGGAAGGACCGAGGGTGCTCCTCACCAGCTCGATTTCCTTGCTTTCAGTTTGACGCTCCAGAAAGTTCTTCCATGTGTGCCCACAGCTGCACATCGGCCTCAAACGGTGCAGGCATTTTACCCCCCTGGTATTCCCCAGAGGAGGCCGGGACCACCTGCGTCTTTTTAGCTGCATTTAATAATTCCACCCAGGATGAATTTGCATGATTAACAGAAAGCCTCGTGATTTTATTCTCTGTCAGGATTTAAGTACGGAAACAACTGCCATTGTTTGCCTCTTGGGGGGTTGCGAGCCGAACGCAGAACGGGAGTCTAGATGGAATCATCTCTGGTTATTCCTTTATTTATTATTTAAAAAGAGATTTTTTTTTTTGGTATATTTGTTTCCAGCACCCCTTCCCCACGGAATCAAAGGGAGGAGTTGCTGAGGCTAGCTAAGCAGAACAGACACAGGGGCGCCCACGTTCTCCCCCCATGGGCATTCACCCAGTAGTGCGAGACGGGCCTGATGGGCAGTCTCCTGTGGGGTATACCCACCGAGAGAGAGTAAGGGGGCAGGTGGGGAACCTTTGCCCCCATCACGGCAGCCTTCCAATAGCCCCACCTCGGGGGGCACACGCAGATCTGCTGGGGAGCAAGACCCTCCAGTAAGCCTTCAGAAACACAGCATTTTCTGGAATCCCAATAAAGATGAGTCACGTCATCAGCCTTCAGAAAAATAAACCCAAGCCGGAGCGATTGTCCTTGGCAGACAGACCATCTGCCCTGACGTGGAGGTGTGTGTGTGTGTGAAGCCAGTGTTTGCCAAGCAGGGAAAGGGGTGGGGCCGGGCATCTGGGCCACTCCGGCGATGGGGAGCCACTGTTGCCCAAGCGTCAAAGACAGGCTACTGTGTGCCACATGCAGGCCATGCTTCAAGCCATGCCTACCAGCCACTGGCTCCTGCCTGGCCTCCCTGCACAGGAAGGCTGGATCTGGCAGAAGCTGAGCAGGAGGGGTGCCACCAGGGGTCCTCAGGGGCGTGGGCGGGGCTGGAGCACCTGCATTTCCCTCCCCCGCGTTGACCACTCTGCTGTGGTTTGCTTGCAGGAATCATGGTCAGTAAGGAGGCCGGCAGGTGCCTGCTCACGGCCTCGGAGAGTGAGGTGGAACCGGCCGCATCACTGGCCCTGGAGATGAAATACACCCTGGACCCCAACCGGCAGGTCAGGAAGCGGAACAAGGCCCTGCAGGTGAGGTTCAAGGACATCTGCGAGGCGCAGAGCGAGCAGAGGGACCAGCAGCTGGTGGCCGGGGCGCAGGGCGAGCGGCGGGAGGCCAAGGCCTCAGCGGCCACACCCTCGTCATCCTCGCACAAGGTTGCGTACCGCAAGTACATGACGGTGCCTGCACGCAGGGCCATCCCCAACGTTACCCGCAGCACGGGCGTGCAGACCTCACCTGACCTCAAGAAGTGCTACCCGACCTTCCCGCTGGACCGCAAGAAAGGGGCTGCCAAGGGCCCCCCCTCTGAGGACCCCTTCACAGGCCAGGACAACGGCTTCCTGGGTGATGCCAAGGACAGGGGCGAGGGCCAGGCCCCCGGGCCGGCCCGGATCTACACGAGGGCCCTGGTGTGCCACTCCAGCGAGGACATGAACTTGGAGGACCAGCCTCCAGGGCTCAACTGCACCGAGCCTTGTTCAAACCTCGACTCCCACAGCTGTCCGGACACCCTGCTCCTGGACATGGACCAGTCTCCCAGGGAGGATTCGGACCTCCAGCTGCAGGGCCCAGCAAAGCCTGACGCCGAGGACCCCGCCCAAGGGATCCCCGGCAGGGTGTTTAAGACAGAGGTAGCCGCGATCTACACCCCGGCCCTCAGCCCCCAGGCCCCGGAGTCTGCCTTGTCCAGCTCCGCAGCTGCCAGCGAGTGGTCCCTGTGCCCGGTGGACGAGGACCCCAGGAGGGCGGTGCACCTCAATGGGCTGCAGGGGCCCCCAGGCGCCATGCTGGCCTGCCTGCCCCCCACGCAGTGCCCGTCCCATGAGTGTGGCGAGCAGCCCCCACAGACTGAAGCCCCTGCTGAGGAGGAGACCCAACCTTGTCCAAGGGTGCTCGCCGCGCGCGGGGACTGCCAACAAATCGTGCCTCACATGGAAGTGGTCGACCTGAAGGCCCAGCTCCAGGCGATGGAGAACCTAATCAGTTCCAGCCAGGAGACCATCAAAGTGCTCTTGGGGGTCATTCAGGAGTTGGAGAAAGGAGAGGCGCACCGGGAAGGGTATGTACGCACCGCCCCTGCCTTTTTTTTGCAACACTGGTAGAGCTGGGAGACGGGGTCAGACTCCTGTGGCTGCACTAGAAGCTGAGAGCAGGCAGCCAGGGTGACCACTGACAGCCTTATGACTCTGGACCCACTGCCCACTCTCCTACACTAGACCCACTGCCCAATCTCCTACACTATACCCACTCTCCTACACTACACCCACTGCCCAGTCTCCTACACTACACCCACTGCCCACTCTCCTAAACTAGACCCACTGCCCACTCTCCTACACTAGACACACTGTCCACTCTACTACACTAGACACACTGCCCACTCTCCTACACTAGACACACTGCCCACTCTCCTACATTACACCCACTGCCCACTCTCCTACACTAGACCCACTATCCCCACTCCCACACTACACCCACTGCCCACTCCCTCCCAGATATCCTGGGTGTTCGTGGGCACCCCAGGCACGATGTTTCTGCGGCACTGAAGGACCAACCCAGCTCCTTTTTTCGATCATGTGATGGACATGCAGTAGATCAGGGGTCCTCAAACTTTTTAAACAGGGGGCCAGTTCACTGTTCCTCTGACCCGTTGGAGGGCCGGACTATAGTTTAAAAAAAAACTATGAACAAATTCCTATGCACACTGCACATATCTTATTTTGGAGTAAAAAACAAATGGGGGAAAAACACCCAGCGGGCCGGATGAATGTCCTCAGTGGGCCGCATGTGGCCCGCAGGCCGTAGTTTGAGGACGCCTGCGGTAGATGTTGCCAGCCTCCCACCAAAATGAAAGGCCTCGTAGGGACCACGTGGTGGAGACCCAGGAAAAGCCTTCCGAGGGGGTCTTTTTAAAGCACTTGCAGATTTGCTTCTGAGGTCGTCGTGGTACACTGGGTTCTATCCCCAGCGGGCTGCGTGCTGCAGGGTCAGAAGTTCGAATCTACCAGCCACTCCATTGGGACACAGGTGTTCTGTTCCCTTAAAGAATTAGTCTCAGAAACCCTATGGCAAGTTCTACTCTGTCTTACAGGATAGTGAGTGAATTTGCTTCTGATAGAACACTGGAATCACTCTGACAGTCATGATTATCTCCAGCTGTGACCAATGGCTAGTGGGTTTTCTCTTTTTTGGAATGCTGGCCAGAGATGCTCACCCCTGGAGAAGCCCCACCCACCCGTGAAAGTAGAGTGGCTCGTCCCCCCTGGGTCTCCCTATAGGTGCGGCTCAGCTGCAGAGAAAGCCACCCATCACTACCAGCATGGCCCAGCTCTGATAGCAGCTTCCCAATCCAATTGCTGGCCATCTGTGGACACTCACACAGAGCAGGAGGAGCTCGGGGCAAGAGGGACAAAGGGACAAGCACGTCTGGACTCCCAGGCACGCCCCGGGTGGGCCCGGCAGTGAGTGTCGCCACTCGTTCCCCAGGCTCTGCCCCACTAGGCCAAGGCCAGAACGCCCCCCCCTCCCATCTCCCTTAGAAGCTGTCTCCCTCGCCTGTGGCCCCCAGAGAGTGCCCCGCTGTCTCCTGAGGGTGGGCCCTGCACGTCGCTTGCCCCTGACCCGGGCTCAGTAACCGGGCAGCCTGCAGGAAGGCACTCCCAGGGCACCCCATGCGCAATAGCACAAGGAGGATGAACTTGGTTGGTGTTGGCGGCCCCCTAGTGGGGTAGGAGACCCTGGGGAGAGCCCCAGGGACAGCTTGTTCCTGCGACACCCTCATGGCTGTTCTCACGTTCCAGCCCCTGGTTCAGTCACTTCCCCCGGGACTGTCTCTCCTGATCATGTGTCCAAAACATGTGGGACGGAGCCTTGCCATCCATCCCTCCAAAGAGCATGATGGCTGTACTTCTTCTGAGACAGAGCTGTTTGTGGGGTGTTCACCGGTTACCCACCAGGGCAGAGGCGCTGACGCCAAGTGCATGTGACCACGGAAATAACTCTACAGCCCAGATGTCAGTACTGGTGACAACTGCTCAGAGGCCATCTGACATCACTTCCTCCTGACCCTCCTGAAGTGCTAAGGGCAGCTTCGTATGCACGGGCCCTGTGTTGGGAGGCATCCTGGAGGTGTTAGAAAGCCATCGGGGGTACACAAAGGGGCCTATGGGAGCCCCTGCGTGGCGTACTGCTAACCCCAAGTTTGGAAGTTCAAGCCAAGCCTTAGGTCTGCAGGGAGGAAGGCCGGCATCCTGCCCCGAGTGCCCAGGGCGTCCAGTGAGACACGGCTGTTTCTGACTCACGGCAGCCCGCCCAAGAGAGCAGTGAGTGTCAAACTGCCGTCTACGTTTTCCAAGGCTGTCACGTCGACGGAAGCAGGCAGCTCATCCTCCTCCAGGTTCAAACTGCTGACTTCCAGTCCACGCTTAACCTGTGCCCACCAACACTCCTACACGCGAGAGTCTGACCCAGAACACCAGACCCTGCTGCGAGTCGAGTCCGATGCTGAACGACCCTACGAGACAGAGCAGAACCCCCCTGCCAGGTGCCCAAGGCAGTAACCCTTCGTGGGAGCCGACTGGCTCCTCTCTGGACCTCTGGTGGTCTCACACCACTGACCTGCAGCTTAGCAGCCGAGCACTTAACTTGTGCGGCAGCACCAAGACTCTGCAAGGAGAGATTCTGAACCAGTAAACCAAACCCACCGACATCCGTCCAGTGTCACTCACAGTGACCCTGCAGCTCACAGCTTAGAGCTGCCCCCGGATTCCCAGGGCTGCATGTCATTCTTCACAGACACAGAGAGTCTCTTCTTTCTCCCTTGGGGAGGCTGGTGAGTTCAAACTGCTGGCCTTTAGCTTAGCAGCCTAATGCTTAACCCATGGGGGCACCAGGGCAGCTGGTGGAGGATTCCTGCTGAGTTCCTCGCCCGGCATCCCATGATTTGGGAGCTGGAGACCTTGTGGAAGAGCCCTGGCTGTATGTCACGTGCTGCTCTGGTTGGAAGGCGGACAGGGGTGGACGTGGGTTACTCTAACCCTGAGGGTCCCTGACTTCCTTGCCAAGTACAAACGTTTGCACTGCAGCCCATCGTCCGGGGTTAAGTGTAGGTCTCTGCTTTCCTAACCCTCCCAGCCCCCACCCCCAATCATTCCAGGGCCCCCCAGGGGTCGGCATCGCCCACCTGGGGATACAGTGCTCCCAGCACATCAGCCAGCAGTCAGTGACATATTGGGAAAGACCAGACTCCAGGTGTGAGGTGCGCAGCTGACTGTCCCCTCCCCTTGGCGTCACAGGTGTCATAGCAGTTACTGTGCCGCGCGGCTCATCAACGGCAGACTGGCGGTTACGGGGCCTGGGAAGAATGGCGTGGTGATCGGGGTCTGAGAACCCAGCCTTTGGAAACCCTGTGGAGCCTGGCGGGAGGGGACCACGAAGAGGGGTCAACCTCCAGGAAGCTGTTTGGTAGAGGTCTTGAGTCTTGGAATCCAAGAGGCAGCTCTGGACCCCCATGCTCCACAGGCACCCAGGGGTGCGCAGGCAGGCACTTGTTGAATAAGAAGTTAGGACGGCACCCATTAGGGAAGGCTCTGGTTTTGGAACTTGGCTTGCAGCCCACCCCCTGGTGTCTCCTTTCAGGGGAGGGAGAGTGTTGTTGTAGGAGCACCTTTGCCACCTCCTGCTCCGTCGGTGGGTGGGTGGGATTTTGCATCCGGGCCACAGCCACCACAGGAGCTTGTACATCCCCTTCTAAGAGGGTGGGCGTGGGCGCTCCTCTGTGGGATGGTGGGGCTTTGGAACAGCCTCAGCAGAGAGAGGCCCCAGCCCGGGGCGCTGGTCACCCTCACTCAGTCCTGGTCTTTCTGCAGAACTGGGTACTCCCCAGAAGCTCCTGACAGGGACCAGCCTGCAGTCAGAACTGAGTGGAGGCCACGTGCCCCGTGGGCACCCCAGAGAGCCCATCCGTGAAGGAGGCAAAGCAGTCCCCCTAGCTGACCTCTGACTCCTGACCCCACGTCTGCTCCATGGAGGACTTGAGGCTGTGGCCGTCCGGAAGTAGATCTCCAGCCCTTGCTTCCAGGGGTGGATGTGAACCCCGTCTGTCTCTTAGCAGCTGGGCAGCTTAACTCTGCACCCAGGGCCAGTGTTGTTGTGGATGGCCCTGCTACCTGGCTTCAAGGCTGTACCCTTTCAGAAACAGAGCTCCAGGCCTCTATTCTGAGGCCCGCTGGGTGAATTTGAACCACCAACCTTTTGGCCAGTGGTCCAGTGCATGGCCATGTGCCACCCCGGGCGTCCTTCCACGCCTTTCCACCCCAGGCCTCTGCTTGGTGCAGCCGAGTTCATCTTGTTGGTGAAGCCCACCACAATGGTCAGGTCTTATCCCTCTCATTCCAGGGCTCGCAGTCTGACGCTCCTGCCTCCCCACAAAAGAGCAGGGCCACACAAAACGCCCTGCTACCGAGTCAGTGCGACTCGTAGGACACTATAGGGCAGCATAGGACAGAACTGCCCCTATACGTTTCTGAGACTGTAACTCTTTATGGGAGTAGAAAGCCTTGTCTTTCCTCATGGAGTGGTTGGTAGTTTTGAACCGCTGACCTTGCAGTTAGCAGCCCAAGGAGTAACCACCACGCCACCAGGGCTCCTCAGGGCCACACAGGTTACCTTGTATGCTCCCATTGTGATCACTGTAGGCAGAGGACTGTGGCTGGCTTAAAGCCCAGTTCTCATAGCTGTGGTGGTTTCCCTGGAGCAGCTGGGGGTCTCGGGTAGGGGGTGCCTGTGGCCAGCAGCCCCTTGGTGTGTCCACTCTCCATAACAGCCGCCTTGGGGTCGAGGGTCTCCGTTGTCACAATGGGCTCTGTCCTGTGGCCACTCAGCCATGGATGCTCACTTAACTGCAAACAGTGGGTCAGAATCTGCCCCTGTCCAGAGGGAAGCAGCCTCTTCACCAGGCCGGGTCTCTGCCAACCCCTGCCGGGCTGACCTCTAGGCTGGGATCCCGACCGAGCTGAGGCCAGGCCACTCGGGGCTCTGTGGCTGCTCTGAGTCAGGCAAGAC